CAGGAGTTTGAGGTTGCTGTGAGCTAGGCTGATCCATGGCACTCACTCTAGCCTGGGCAACAAAGTGAGACTCTGTCTCAAAAAAAAAAAAGCATTTAGCATGAACAAAAAAGTTTACTGCCCTGTAAGAATTAGACTGCCCTTGGTGAATGAGACACCTCTACTAAAATCTACCTTTTTTAAACTACTAGGTTGAGATCGGCAAAACTGTATTAGTGACTGTGAGGGTTCTTGGCTCTTCCAAACGCCCATTCCGAAATAAATACTTCAGAAACATGGAGCTCAAACTGCAGTTGGCTTCTGCCATTGTCACCCTGACGTGAGTTCTTCTTTCAATACTTCTTTCTTTCTATGTTTAACATCATGAGACTCTTCTTCCTGGTAGCCTGGTCAGGTCTGGAGCTTTCTGCCATTGCCATGAAATTTGTCTTGACTCTGGAAATTTATTTTCTAGCAGTTCTCTTAAACCAGAGTTAAAATAAGCAGAAAATGTTAAGCATCTCAGAAAGATGCATCACTGGCCACTCTCAAAACCAAATCTTTCTCACCTATAAACACATGGGTCTTTGCAGGCTAATGGAGGAACAGGATGAATACTCTGAAAATTATATCCTTCGAGCTATCACTATTGGGCAAACCACACTTGTAGCTATTGCCAGGGACAAGATGGGGAGAAAATTCACATCAGCTCCTCGGCAAATTGAAGTAAGGAAATTGTCTCATCTAAAATTTGTACTTCTTCTTACTTATCATCATTTATCTTTTTCTGTTTAGTTTGCACAAGTTAAAAATCATTTGACTGGGCCAGGCTCAGTGGCTTACACCTATAATAATCCCAGCTACTTGGGAGGCTGAGGCAGGAGGATCACTTGAGGCCAGGAGTTTGAATCAGCCTGGGCAACATTGACCCAATCTCTAAAACAAAACAAAAGGGCCAGGCACAGTGGCTCATGCCTCTGTAATCCTAGCACTTTGTTGTTGTTGTTGTTGTTTTTGAGACAGAGTCTCACTCTGTTGCCCGGGCTAGAGTACCATGGTGTCAAGCCTAGCTCACAGCAACCTCAAACTCCTAGGCTCAAGCAATCCTCCTGCCTCAGCCTCCCGAGTAGCTGGGACTACAGGCATGCACCACCATCCCCAGCTAATTTTTTATATACATATTTTTTAGTTGGCCAATTAATTTCTTTATATTTATCGTAGAGATGGTTTCTCGCTCTTGCTCAGGCTGGTTTTGAACTCCTGGCCTTGAGCAATCCGCCCACCTCGGCCTTCCAGAGTGCTAGGATTACAGGCGTGAGCCACTGCGCCCAGCGCCCAGCCTGTAATCCTAGCACTTTGGGAGGCCAAAGTAGGAGGATCACTAGAGGCCAGAAGTTTGAGGTTTCAGTGACCTAGGATGATGCAACGGCACTCTAGCCAACAGAACTGAGCAAGACCCTGTCTAAAAAAAAAAAAAAATTGATTTGGAAAGTACAAAAAGGATTCCAGTGTATTTCCTTCATATTTTCCCCCGATGCTTATTTTTTTTATTTATTTATTTTTATTTTTTTTTTTTTTTTTTTTTTGAGACAGAGTCTCGCTTTGTTGCCCAGGCTAGAGTGAATGCCGTAGCGTCAGCCTAGCTCATAGGAACCTCAGACTCTGGGCTCAAGCAATCCTACTGCCTCAGCTCTGAGTAGCTGGGACTACAGGCATGTGCCACCATGCCGCTCATTTTTCTATATAATATTATTTGGCCGATTAATTTCTTTCTATTTTAGTAGAGACTGGGTCTCACTCTTTGCTCAGCTGGTTTGAACTCCTGACCTTGAGCAATCCGCCTGCCTCGGCCTCCCAGAGTGCTAGGATTACAGGCGTGAGCCACCGCACCCAGCTCCCACCCTGCTTATTTTAACATGAATAAATCATATTGATTTTTTCATCTTCATCTTATATCAGAGTATTTTCTTCTATCATTAAAATCTAATTTTTGGCTACGTGTTGATAATTGTTGAAGCTGGTTATGAGTGCCTGAGATTTCATTACTCTGTTCTCTCTATTTTTTATATATGTTTGAAAGAAAGTTAGCTATAAACATATTTAAAAGTCACTTTTACTCCAGCAAGTAGATATATAATAACTTATTTAAGTATTGCCACTTAAATAATTTTAAATTTTTGCTATTATGTATAAAAGTTTTATATATAAATAAATAAAAATACCTATCCTTGTGTTTAACTTTTTTGTGCATAATTAGTAGTTTTCCTTAGAATGAGATCATAATCATTTATTGTGAAATTGACTCTAGTTAGTCATTGTTGTCCTTTTGGTTTTCTCCCTTAAGGTGTTCCTCCATTCAGACTTGTTCCAGAGAAATGACACTGATTCCAACTAACATGATGCAGGTGATCTTAAAGGCGAAAAATAAGATTTACCTTTTCTCCTTATCTCACTCACACACACATACACACATACCCTTCTTTCTATTGGCCTCCTTTTGTCTACTCTCCGCCAAGTCAACTGAATCTGATAAAAAAAAAAAAATTAAATCCTTTTGTAGTTCATAAGCTGATGATTGGTGTTTTTTGTTTTGGTTTTTTTGAGACAGAGTCTTGCTTTGTTGCCCAGGCTAGAGTGAGTGCCATGGCGTCAGCCTAGTTCACAGCAACCTCAAACTCCTGGGCTCAAGCAATCCTACTGGCTCAGCCTCCCAAGTAGCTGGGACTACAGGCATGCACCACCATGCCTGGCTAATTTTTCTATATATATTAGTTGGCCAATTTTTTACTGTTTATAGTAGAGACGGGGTCTTGCTCTCGCTCAGGCTGGTTTTGAACTCCTGACCTCGAGCAATCTGCCGCCTAGGCCTCCCAGAGTGCTAGGATTACAGCTTTAGCCACCGCGCCCTGGCTGATGATTGGGTTTTCATGCACATGTGTGAGATGTGCCTCCCTCAAACTTTGTTAGGATGTTGGTACATCACCTTTCTGACATGAAAAAAAAAATAAAATTAGTTCTTTCCTGATCCATGATGTACATCATATAACTATATCTTGGAATCCAATGGATCATTTTCAGCACTTCCAGTCTTCTACATTTGAGTTGGTGTAGGATAGGCTTTTTGGGAAATGAGAGAAGAAGAAGTCAAGTTGGGAAGAAGAAGTCAAGTAGGGGAAGGAAAAGTCAAGTGGGGGAAGGAAAGGTCAAGTTGTTTGGACAAAATACTGAGAAAGAGATGTGACTTCTCCCCCATGTTCCAGGCATTCAATGGTATGTTAAATTCCAGGTAATGTCAGAAGGTGTCCCCAGCCCCAATCTATCATTCACTTCTCCATCAGTAATCAGACCGTGGCTGTTGTTAATAGGAGGGACAAATTACAGGGAAGGTGGTTGGTACAGCTGGTCGTCCATGGCACCAAGCCTCCCGAGTAGCTGGGACTACAGGCATGTGCCACCATGCCTGGCTAATTTTTTCTATATGTATTAGTTGGCCAATTAATTTCTTTCTATTTACAACAGAGATGGGGTCTCACTTTTGCTCAGGCTGCTTTCAAACTCCTGACCTTGACCAATCCGCTCACCTTGGCCTCCCAGAGTGTTAGGATTACAGGCGTGAGCCACCACGCCGGGCCCTATGATTTTTAATACTATTTTTTTTCCTGGAAAGAGCTCTCAAAATCAATCTTTCCAATAGTGTTACATGTGTTGTATAATGTATTTGTGAGCAGATGACTATGTCAGATAAGTAAAGTATACCTTATGAATATAAAGTATATATGCATAGAGTTTAAATATTTAATATAATCTTTTAACATGTTCAGACACATATTTAATTATATTTATAATCATGTTTTGTTGCATGATGGGCAATTGATGTTAATAGTAAGAAAAGTGGATGCAGATGGCTACAGATGGCATTGTGATGCTGAGCAGGCTCCTGGGCCTGTCCCACTGAAAGCTGGAAAAGAACTGGACCCCCACAGCGGGCATGTCAGGCACTGTGGGTGCCATGGGGCTGTCATTCATTGCCCACCAACTGGACTGGGTGCCTCATATCAATGGCAAATTTCAGAAGGACAATTAATTAAACTGCTCCTCTATGGTTCCCTGTGGTATCTGGTGGTACTAGCTCCTCCCAGCTTAGTACTTGCTGTGTCTGGAACCACAAAGTCTTCAGCATGGACATTGAGGAAATCCACAATTCAATTTAAGAGTTTCTTTTTCTGAAAATAGCTTTGATGTTTTCATGCATATAGCATTAAACCTGACACTGAATAAAGCCTGAAAAAAACAAAAAAATTAAGTTTGATAGAAACTAGGTGAACTAGGTATTGTTACCTAATCATCAGTTTGATGGATCTCATTCCAAGTAGTCTGAGAATAGTGGCAACCACCTAGATCTGGAGCTTTACCTTAGGAAGAAGGGACCTGGGGCCAGGATACCCAGTAGGTCACAATTCAGTGCCCATGAGAACAAAAGATTAGAATTAGGCCTTGAGAGAGAACAGAAGGGTTATAAGAGCTAGAATTCAGAGGTTATTTCTGGAGCTAGCTAAAAAAAAAAAAAAAAAAGAGAGAGAGAGAGAAATATTGAAAAAGTAAAAAATACATTTTTAATCTTTCTGGAAATATCCTAAATCTATAATTTAGGAAAATTTTGATGGGTGGATCTAGTATCTCTCAGGGACCTCCTAGACCTTGATTATACTTGTAACTGAGGAGAGATGGAGCTGTACTTAGGTACTATGTAGCACAGGAATTTGGCTTTTTTCTTGAATAGGAAGTAGGGGTTATGTGAAAGGAGCGAATAGCCTAGGTTTTCTACTTCTCCCTTTCTTCAATTTTCTTTTCTAAAGCATCACTGTTTTCTCTAGCAGAAGAAATAATTGAGAGCCTTACAAATTTTTTTCTTTTCCTGCCTCAGACCCAGCATAAACAAACTGGGTGATGAAAAGGGCAATAGAAAGGTATTTGTGTTCCACAAGGTGGATTTCCTACACTGTGAAAATGCTACCATTTAGATATTCACTTGGATTAAACAATTATAAACCACTCATTTTTTAGCATGACACTTTCTTCCAGAGAATTGATTGAGATCTATACAAAGCAAATGGGAGTTTTTATATAGAAGAGGAAGGACAGGTGATTTTGGAACTTGGGGCTCTATTGTGAGTCAAGAGAGCCAGAAGGGAAGGTCTTGAGGGTTGTGGACAGCAAGAAGGCAAGGGAGGGCCAGGCGCGGTGGCTCACGCCTGTAATCCTAGCACTCTGGGAGGCTGAGGAGGGAGGATCACTCAAGGTCAGGAGTTCAAAACCAGCCAGAACAAGAGCGAGAACCCATCTCTACTAAAAAATAGAAAGAAATTAATTGGCCAACTAAAAATACATATATATATATAACCAAATTAGCCAGGCATGGTGGCGCATGCCTGTAGTTCCAGCTACTCTGAAGGCTGAGACAGAAGGATCACTTGAGCCCAGGAGTTTGAGGGTGCTGTAAGCTAGGCTGACGCCATGGCACTCTAACCCAGGCAACAGAGTGACACTATGCCTCAAAAAAAAGAAGAAGGCAAGGGAGATAGGACATCACATGACTGCTGAAAAGGTAGGCAGATATCTACTTCAGTGTTTGCCTTAGTGTTGGCCCTACCTTCCCTATTACCAGAAGTCTGTAAAGTTCTAATCCTCCTTATCCAGTCTAGACTGGAATGGTGACGGAGGCAGGTAGGGAGGTGGTCAGCTAGTTTTAGCATAGTCCTAAAGTAGTAGCTTCTCTTTCTTGACCTTATCCTTTCTTGCCACCACCCTGAACTCCATGGGTAGATGGCCTTCTCGCCCATCTCAAGTTCTACTGTCTGAACCCATTTTAGAAACCACTTCCATCATTTCCCTTCTTCTCTTATCAATGAATTGACTTCGAGATAACATAAGAAAGAATCTCAGGGAGGCTTGCCAGAATTAGTTGAACACAGCAAACAAAGGCTTAACTTTAGGGGTGACTATGCTGCTGGGAATATGAAAAAAAACTATGAAGGCCAGGCACTGTGGCTTATGCCTATAATCTCAGCACTTTGGGAGGCTGAGACAGGAGGATTGCTTGAGGCCAGGAGTTTGAGACCATCCTAAGAAACATAGCAAGACCCCATTTCTACAAAAAACAAAAATTAGCTAGGCTTGTTGGGACATACCTGTAGTCCCAGCTACTTGGGAGGCTGAGGTGGGCAGATCACAGGAGCCCAGGAGGTCAAAGCTGCCGTGAGCTATAATCATGACACTGCACTCCAGCCTATGTGACAGAGCCAGATGCTGTCTCTAAAAAACAACAAAACAAAAACAAAAGCTATGAAAATTTACTCTTGTACTCTAGTTCTTCTAGATAGCTATTTCCAACCTACATTTTCCTTATTGTTAACAACAAAGAAGGAAGGGCAGTGTTTATTCATGAATATTTCTTAATTCATCCCCTCACTGTCTTAGGTTTTTCTACAGCTCCCACCAGAGAATAACTTTGCCATGGTTGTCCACACAAGAGCAGCTGGCCGGACCAGTATTAAAGTCACTGTCCGCTGTATGAACAGTTCCTCTGGGCAGTTTGAGGGGAATTTCTTGGAACTGTCTGATGAAGTTCAGATCCTGGTAAGCTCACAAACCTAAATCTTATTTTTGTATTTCAAGGAGAAGAAAGTTATAGTCTCTTACCATCCATGAAGAGTTTAGTCTGGATAGAAATAGAGAATTGCAAGAGGGATTCCTGGAACAAGTTTATGGTTCCTAGAGCTTTGTCATTCCTGCTAATTGCTTCTATATAGTATTGACATTAGAAACTTTAGCACACATACTCCCTTTATCTCCCCACACTATGAACACAAGATATGAACACCTCAGTAACTAGAGAGGGATTTCTGAGTTGTTCCATTTAACGTGGATATTATGATATACTATATTTAGATATATTCACGGGTAGAATGAAATATAATAGTAACTTCTGGTAAAGTATAAGAGTATGAATAGTTTCTACAGATGATCTTAGGGTAAAAGCTAAGTGGCCCTATTATTTTTAAATTCAAAAGACAAGTTACAGGGCCCCAAGGCTCTGTTCCTAAGGCTCCACCTCTGGCATCAGGTCCTACAGCACCCCCTGAGGATTTAGCCCAGTTGCCAGACCGCAAGACTCCACCTCTTAAGGCTCCAGGACTGCCCAGAAGCTGGAGCTTCCGCTCTTGCTCTAGAGCCTCAACTGCTGCCCTTGTTCCCGTGGCTCCTCCCCTGAGGCCCCTCCACTGCTGCAGGGCCCCGGCTCCATCCCCAAGGCTCCAGTGCTGTCACTGGGACCCTGCACCCAGCTCCAAGACTCCCTGCTGCCATAGAGCCCTGCAGCTATGCTCCTAAGGCTCCCACTGGCCACCTGCTGGGAACCGCCAATGGTCCAACACTCTACCAGCAACCACCAGCCTCCTGCCACATCACACCTGGACCCAGTTGGAGAGCAAACGCCCACAGCCTGTATACCTACAACTACTGCCTCCACCCAGATACCACTGTTTCCTCCACAGGGAGAGCTGGCAATCCCCCATAACACCAGGCTCTCTGGAGAGAGTGTTGCTCAGCCTCCAACCTGAGATGCCAACAGGAGCCGGGGGGACAACCCAACACTCCACATGAAGATCATCCAGCACCAGCTAAAACTGTGACAATCACAGGGGAACAGAACAAAACAGAACAGCTGTATTATAGGTTCTGAGTGCACCCACCCTTCCTCTTTGGGTCATTTCCAGAGTAGGACACAAAAGCTTCATCTAGGAAACTCTCCTTTTCACTAAGTGTGAGAGTTCCAAGCAATGGAGAATAGGTGTGCTACAGACCTATCATCCCTGAGCTGAGAAAAGAGGATTCAGATGAGAGGAAACCAGCAAAAGAACTCTGGCAACATGACAAAACAGTTCAACACCCCCAGGGATCACAATGGACCCCTACAAAAAGGAAATTGTTGAAATTTCAGGAATGGAATTCAGAATGTGGATGGCAAATAAGATGAAAGAAATTGAAGAGAAAGTTGAAAATCAACAAAAAGAAGCCAAAAGATAATTCAGGACATCAATTAAAAACATGAAAAAGTTGCTAAAGAGCTAGACAACATAAGAAAGGATATAATATAACTTAAAGAAATGAAAGAGTCATTTAGGAAATTTCAAAATACAGCAGAAAGCTTCAACAACAGACTAAATCAAGCAGAAGAAAGAATCTCAGAACTTGAAGGCAAGGCTCTTGAACTAACCCAGTCAGTCAAAGATGCAGAAAAGAGAATAAAGAAGAATGAATGATCACTCAGAGAAATATGGGACTATGTGAACTGAACTAATATATTGATTGTAGGTATCCCTGAGGAAGAAAAAGAAAAAGAAAAAAGCATGGAAAAATTTATCCAAGGGAATTATTGAGGAAAAATTCCCTGGTATTGCCAGAGATATCCAGATACAAGATGGTCATCAAAGACCAGGCAGATTCATAGTAAATTGGACCTCTCCAAGACTCCTAGTCATCAACTTGGCCAAAGTCAAAATGAAGAAAATTCTACAAGCTGCAAGATGAAAACAACAACTTTCATCCAGGGTCTAGGTGCAATGCAGCTGGAGACTGGTGGGTCCCTGGCAGAGTGTTGGATTCTCAGAAGGCAGCCAGTGGAAGCCTCAGGAGCATGGCTGTGCAGGTCTATGGCAGCAGGGAGTCTTGGAGCTGGGTCCAGGGTCCCAGTGGCAGCACTGGAGCCTTGGGGATGGAGCCACAGGGCTCTGCAGCAGTGGAGGGGTCTCGGGGGAGGAGCCAAGGACACAAGGGCTACAAAGGAAAACCCATCAGGCTAACAGCAGAATGCTCAGCAGAAACATTATAAGCCAGAAGAGATTGGGGCCCCATTTTTAGTCTTCATAAACAGAATAACTGTCAGCCTAGAATTTTGTAAAAACTAAGTTTTATAAATGATGAAGAAATAAAGACTTTTCAAGACAAGCAAACTTTAAGGGAATTTGTCACTATTAGACCTGCCCTACAGGAAATACTCAGAACTGCATTATACATGGAACAGTACAATAGATACCCACCATTGTAAAAATACTCAAAAGTTAAAGCTCTTAGCTCTTCTAAAAAAATAGTTCAAGAGGGAAAACAAAGCAATAAGGTATCACCCAACATGATGAACAGAACAGCATCCCACCTATCAATACTAACACTCAATGTGGGTGGTCAGAATGCCCCACTTAAAAGACATAGACCAGCTGAATGGATGAAAAAACACACCCCAAGTATCTGCTTTCTCTAGGAAACACATCTAACCCACAAGAACTCACATAGACTCAAAGTGAAGAGATGGAAAAAAAATATTCCACACACATGGAAACCAAAAGAAAGCAGGTGTAGCCACTCCAATATCAGATGAAATAGACTTTAAATCAACAGTGGTTAAAAAAAAAAAAAATAGGCAAAGATGGTCATTATATAATGGTAAAGGGAGCAATTCAACAAGAAGATATAATAATCCCAAATATGTTTGCACCTAACACAGGAGCTCCCAGATTCATAAAGGAAATCCTACTAGATCTAAGCAAAGAAATAAACAGTAGCATGGTATTTGCCAGGGACTTCAACACCCCATTGACAGAGCTGGACAGATCATTGAATCAGAAACCAATAAAGAAACACTGGAATTACACAACACACTAGAACAAATGGACCATGCTTGCTTTGGAAGCACATATACTAAAATCGGAACGATACATAGAAGATTAGCATGGCCTCTGCACAAGGATGACATGCAAATTCGTGAAGCATCCCATATATATATATTTTTTTTGAGACAGAGTCTTGTTCTGTTGTCCAGGCTACAGTGCTGTGGTGTCAGCCTAGCTAACAGCAACCTCAAACTCCTGGGCTCAAGCGATCCTTCTGCCTCAGCCTCCTGAGTAGCTGGGGACTACAGGCATGTGCCACCATGCCTGGCTAATTTTTTCTCTATATATTAATTGGCCAATTAATTTCTTTCTATTTATAGTAGAGATGGGGTCTCACTCTTGCTCAGGCTGGTGTCAAACTCCTGACCTTGAGCGATCCTCCAGCATCAGCCTCCCAGAGTGCTAGGATTACAGGCATGAGCCACCGTGCCCAGCCAGCATTCCATATTTTTTTAAAAATTATTTTAAAAAAAGAACAAGTCTCATATAGCAATACTCTCTGCCATAGGTAAAATAATAATAATAATAATAACAACAACAACAACAAAAGAACAAGTGGACCAAACAGACATTTACAAAATATTCTACCCCAAAACTACTAAATATACATTCTACTCATCAGCAAATGGGTCCTTCTCCAAGACTGATCATATCCTAGGCCACACCACATGTCTCAGCAAATTCAAAAAAATTGAAAACATACTATGTATCTTATCAGACCACAGTGGAATAAAACTAGAAATCAATTTCAAGAGAAACACTGAAATCTCCACAAAGTCATGGAGATTAAACAACCTGCTGCTAAACAACCATTGGGTCAATGATGAAATTAAGATGGAAATCAGAAGATTCCTTGAACTGAACAACAAAGGGGATACAAGTTATCAAAATCTATGGGATACAGTAAAAGCAGTCCTATGGGGAAAATTCATAGCCTTAAATGTCTATATCAGAACCACAAATTAACAATCTAATGTCACACCTCAAGGAACTAGAAAAGAACAAACCAAACCCAAAGCCAGCAGAAGAAAAGAAATAGCCAAGTTCAGAGCAAAACTAAATGAAATGTAAACCAAATAAAAAAAGATCAATGAAACAAACAGTTGGTTCTTTGAAAAGAGAAACAAAATCAATATACTTCTAGCCAGATTAAGTAGAAATAGAAGAGAAAGAACCCAAATAAGCTCAATCAGAAATGAAAAAGGAGATATTATCGCTGATGCCACAGAAATACAAAGTATCATTCATGAATTCTACAGAAATCTCTACACACATAAACTAGAAAATGTAGAGGAAATGGATAAATTCCTGGAAACACACAACCTCCCAAGATTCAATTAGGAAGAAATAGAAATCCTGATCAGACCAATAACAAGCAATGAGGTTGTAGCAGTAATAAAAAATGTCACAACAACAACAACAAAAAAGCTCCAGACCAGATGGATTCATAGCCAAATTCTCCTAAACCTACAAAGAAGAACTGGTACCTATCCTACAGAAATTATTCCATAACATCAAGAAGGATGGAATCCTCCCTAATTCATTCTATGAAGCTAGTATCACCTTGATACCAAAGCCAGGAAAGGACACAATGAAGAAAAAAAAAATACAGACGAATATCCCTTATGAAAATAGATGCAAAAATCCTAAAACAAAAAACACTAGTAAACTGAATTTAACAACACATCAAAAAAATAATTCAGGCCGGGCGCAGTGGCTCACACCTGTAATCCTAGCACTCTGGGAGGCTGAGGCAGGTGGATCGCTCAAGGTCAGGAGTTCAAAACCAGCCTGAGCAAGAGCGAGACCCCGTATAAATAGAAAGAAATTAATTGGCCAACTAATATATATAGAAAAAATTAGCTGGGCATGGTGGCACATGCCTGTAGTCCCAGCTACTCGGGAGGCTGA